CAACATGGTCTCTATTCCAATTGATGCGATCACTTCGCGTTTTGGCGATCGCTTCAATAACTTCCGCAGCACCTCGTTGACCACTCGCTTCGCCAACCTGCGCCCGATTTCGGAGTTCTTCGACATTAAGCGGTTATCCAAGCCTGCCAACTTCGCTGAAGCCCAAAGCCGAGTCAACTACAACTTGTCCTACTTCTCCAGCAACTATGCCGTCGTGTTTGTGATGCTCAGCATCTACAGCTTGCTGACCAACCTGGCGCTGCTGTTCGACATGATCTTTGTGAGCTGTGGTCTCTACGGAATCAACCTGCTGCAAGGTCGGGATTTGGATCTGGGCTTCTCTCGCTTCACCACTTCGCAGCTCTACACGGGACTACTCATCATTGCTGTCCCCATCGGCATCTGGGCGTCTCCCCTTACGACTGCGCTGTGGTTGATCGGTGCTACTGGCGTGTCCGTTTTTGGCCACGCTGCGTTTTTGGATAAGCCGATCGAGAATGCTTTTTCCGAGGAGGCGGTCTAGGTGGTCGGCCGCGAGCTCCTTTTGATATGCCCTCATGGGGAAGACCACCGGGGGCACGAACGGGGAGATATACTAGGGGACGCGCGGCTTGGGGGAAGACACGACTGGAGGAGGTAGATAGCGAGGAGGAAGAATACGGGCGGGAGCTGGTGCGGAGCAGTCGATACAGGCAGGAATATGGAGGGCGAGGGCTGCGGAGACGGCCGGTGGAATATGTGGACCTGACAGATGAATCTGAATTGGTTGATGGGGGTGAATACGATTTATACGACCATGAGGATAGCACAGTGGCCTATGCGATTCAACTGGCCATGCAAGACAAGGAAGATCAACTGGTGGACACAGCGCTCGAGCGAATTCGCCGCGCCCAAGTTCTGGGAAAGAAGAACGTTCGGCTGTCAAAACGCGAACTGGATGCCCTGGAGCGCAAGCGCCAGCAGACGGATGGCTTGAGCGGAAGCCGGCGCCCTTCGGTCAATTCTGTTAAGGTGACGTCGCGCCCATCGTCCCGACGGAGTGCAGTTGTTGCACCAGAGCAGTCCGGCCCGTATCCGACCTATACGCCGGATGCACATAGCACCTGGGCTCGTGGGACAGCGGCTGCGAATAGCCAGCCGTCCAGCTCATCTTCTGCTCCCCGTCCCCGGACTCCAACAACACAATCTCTTCGCTCCCAGCCATCCAATTCACCTCTTCGACCTACCTACACACCATACACCCCCGAGCGCTTTGCCCCCCATGGCCGACCACAGTCGATGCAACAAGCGCCTGTGTTCCAACGGCCACTGCCAGACGATCCTCAATGGGTCCCACCCTACTACGACACAATGCAGATGAGCTCATATGGAGAACCCGTGCCATACCACGCGGTTCCCCTTGGACAACAGAATCGAATGAGTTACCCTTCGACCACCCCGTACCCATCTCATCAATCTCCATCTCCGGGCCAACTTCCACCGCAAGCCACCCCGCCGACCCAGGGCAACCTAGCGCCAGCTCTTGTTCCATCCAAGTTGGGGCCTGTGAAATCCAGTGAAGAATCGGAGGGCAGCGACGAGGATGAAGTGCAGATTGTTAAGGTGGCTAAGGTGGCTGAGCGCAAGGCCCCGTCCGTTGCAGTTGCGCAGAGGCGACCCGTTACTGGAACCACACGTAAACGGACCAGTCGATGATGTTGCCCTAACTTCCAGTTTTTTTCGGCCACGGGTTTTCTTTTCTTTCTTTTCTGCTTTCTTATTTTCGACTCCATCATCACGGTCTTTCCATACCATGACGGCGTTTTTTTTTAGTTAGACCGGTCTGGGGCTACAAGTATACACAAATTCTTCCTCCTTCTGGTTGACTGGTAGATCGTAGGGCTTGGAATCTGAAGTTCCAGAAGTTCAATACGGTGATATAAGTGGACCGATGCAACATGGCTGAAAACGTCTGAACGTCTGAACATCTGATGAATTGCTACATGGGTATTTTCTCAGCCTCCGAACCTTTCCTGTCAAGTAATCCGCCACCGGGTGTTACCGATTAGAGAGATGCATTCAAAGTGCTACTCTTGGAGTAAAAACTGAGGCTGATCACTTGGACTAGGCTGGGATCAATCTTTCTGCCTTTCCTGCCTTGGCATAGAGATGACGTCGTTGAGCTCACTCTCCAGGGCCTTGTGGGCGTCGAGATGATTCTAGTATAAAATCTTTCTTTCTTCTCTGTCTATTCAAGGTATCCAATCCCCCACTCAATATTCCCCTTGCGCATTATTGTCCCTATCCCAGTTTGACATCCCTTGGTCATTTAAGCGCAACTGTTGTCCCCTTTAGGACCTAATCATAGGAGGAATGCTGTGATAAAATTGTAAACAAATGCCAGGACATAAGTGAGTTCCATAACTGGGCAAATTGACCTCGGATCCACACCTTCCTTCCATGCTACATGGAATCACCGGCATTGGAGAAGCGGCGACTGACAGGGTCATATAGGCTCAAGTGCGCATTGCCGTGCCGTCAATCATCCAGTCTCTCGTTTGAATTGGATTGTTAGCGGACATACAAAGACCTCAATTACCTCCATTGTCTCAAATTTGGACTCGAAATACCCCCCCCCCCCCCCAAAAAACGGTCACAAAGATGTGGATTATATCGTTTTGGATGTTTCCCTTGGTATCGGCCTGCATGTGGGTTGGTAAGACATCCTTGAACTGAATTGGAAATCGTGGTCCGGGCTGCAGCTAACATAGTCTTAGCAATGTTGATCGCCATGTTGGTCACCTGGGTCAAAGACGGGAGACCGCACTATGCCAGTATGGATGATGGACAGACTATTGCGTATGTCGTCTTTCCACCATTGGCCCACCCGTACGCTAACGGGACGGTTCTAGGTACATTTCAGATGTCGGAGCGCAAGGTCTGAAGCCGCTGTTCGTCGCAGGTAGTGCTGTCACCGTCGTATTTCTCGATTTAGCACTCCTCTCCGAGCGGTGGCTTCGACACTCAAATCAGTTGGCCTCGAACAAGGGTAGGTTGGACAAGGCATGTGCCATTCTTTCGATCGTTTTCGCAATTGCCGGTGCTGCCGGTCTGATTCTGCTCTCTGTCTTTGATACACTCCGCCACCCGAAATTACACGACGGTTTCATCGGCCTGTTCATGTGAGTGACGTCCTAGGAACGATGCAGCCACCAACTAACCCATCAATCTCTCTCCAGTGCTGGATACGTGGTCAGTGCCATCTTCATTTGTATCGAGTACTTCCGCATCGGAATCTTCTACCGTCGCGAGCACCGTATCTTGCTCGTCAGTTTCTTTATCAAGCTTGTCTTTGTCATTGTCGAGCTCGCACTCGCCATCGCCTTCGGTGTCTGTATCGGGAGTAAGCAGGCATCTAAGCAAAACCCCGGCGCGGTTATCGAGTGGACCATTGCTTTCGTCTTCACTGGATACGTTGTCTCCTTTGTTGTCGATCTATTACCTTCCGTGCGCACCAAAAACCATGTGCCCCAAGGTGAGAAGTACCTGAACCAAGGTGGATTCAGTGGAACCCGTGAAGGTGTCTCCATCGAAGAGCCTCTGACCCATGACTCAATGGGCCCGAGCACCGGCTTTTACCGAGGCCAGCGGGTCTAACAATCTTCTCGAGGTTTTTCATTTTTTTTTTTTCACTTGTCAAGGATTCTCTTAGTTATAGTGTTGTTCAAGAAGGCATTGCTAGAAGACGTGGTCCCTCTGGGGTCTTAGAATACATGGTCCTGATATAGCATGTGATGTTTTTCATCGTCTATTTCATATGTTCCTACATATAGATCGTAGACCTGAGACAACATCAAATGCACATGCAATAAAGAAACGCTAGACCGATCACAATGCCAAGGTCATTATCGTATCTACATATCTCATATCCAATACAAAAAGCCAACCATACGTCCTAACCCCAAACCCCAGTACAAAAGAAACCTCAAGCCAAAATCTTCATTCGAACCCTCTCCTGCATCTCGACCGTAACCCCGGCCTTCTCCAGATACCCCCTTACGCCCCCATACCTGTGCTCAAGATACTCCGTCGTATCACTCACAAACCCAGGTGGACAACGCGTATAATCCTCCCCGAGCCCAATAGCCCTGATCTCCTCCAACCTCTCCTCAAACTCCGACACAAGCTCCAGCTCAGATCGACCGTAATCATCAACAATCGCTTCAACCGGCACAATACTCCCCACCAGCAGTAACACCAGCAATACAACCAGACCCGTCCGGTCCTTCCCCTGCGTACAGTGGACTAATGTCGGGTATGATTCCTCGCACGCCAAGATCTCGAAGACGGATCGGATTTCACCCATGCTGGAATCTAACGTGTCTTGCGCTAGACCTGTTAATCCACGTGGTTGCATTACTGAGCCGCAGACTAGACGAACGGCATCGCTGCGGTAGCCGGTTGTGACGAGGCCGATTGTTTTGCTGTAGGGTAGTCATTAGTATCAGTTCGAGGATGTCGGTCAATGTCATGCATAGAGGATGGGAAGGAAGAGAGGGGGGGGGGGAGGAGGGGCACGTTACAGATATGTCAACCAGTCCAATTTTGATATCAAGGCGCGTTCAAAGCCTTTACCGGTGAGATTTACTAAAGCTCGTTTTGAGCCGGGGATTTCGGGGAGGTGTTCGTCTGGGTTGGGTGGGATTCGGCCTGTGGGTGATGGTGACTTTGCTGACGGATCTAATTTGGCATTTTCACGTCGGCGTTTGCGTGTGCCCATTTGATGTTCTGTTCTTGCTTGGGGCATCAGTTTCTGCTCTCGGTTGTCTCGGGTGATTTTGGGACACACTTGGAACGAAGATCAATCACCGTGTGAATGTGGAGTTCTTCCGCTAAACGGCGTTTATCTCGTTCTGAGGCATCGTCGAGCTGGTAGAGTTCACATCAGTTTTTTTGTGAGGTCTTTTGCGTCGCTTATGTCTGCCAACGCATCAAGGGCCATCGGCGTTGGAGCGGGGGTTGGAAATTACCCTCGCACTACGATAAAACACGCCTTCTTTCAGGATACTGTTGGAAATGGTTAGTCTCTTGGATTGAGAGAGGCACTTCGAGGATTCTCCCCGGGTCCGATTCCGTGTCTGAACTCACTCTTTGCGACAGAATTGATTTACCGACCGGCCGACATCGCGGAAATTGATGATATTGTCGAAAGGCCGATCAGGTGAGTCTAGGTCCACACTGTTATGGCGTGACATGATTAATTAAGGGAATATAAGAATCTCAACGGGATAGAGTAGGATGTTTAGAAGTGAAAAAGAGGAACGTGTTTCAACGTGTGGAGAAGTACAAATGGCGGTGGACAGTGTGGACGTTGGGCAGACATCGCGTTTTGACCGATAGTCGCCTGGACAATGAATGTTTTGGAGTTACATTGAATTCAAATTGGTTTAATAGGGATTAAATTGGTGTGTCTTGGAACTGTTGACTATCCATAGCAGAGACGGGTGGTTCTAGCATTCTCAAGGTCCTGTGGGATACCCTTTCTCAAGAATCTCAAGAAGTTGACTGGAAGGGGGAGGGCTGCGTGTCTGTTTTCGAGATCTTCGTACAGGCATCGATCCAGTCTGATGTAATGCATAGGGGGGGGAGAAAAAGCAAGGAAGCAGGGTTTCATGCAAAAGCGATGCGTGAAACAGGTATCGGAGCTCAAAGAACTACAGGATACAGGAAGATCCAGACCTCGGGAAACATTCCACTCCAATCTCAACAAAGGTGTCAGCAAGTACTACACACCTTCATCGATATTGTCCCCGGTTGTTCTTCCATGGTGGCTGCAGGTAGGACCAATCGTGGTTGAAATTGAATCCAGTGCGATAAGCCCCATATGCAACCAGATCCACCTGATGTAGTCTCGCCCCCTGCTCCGTCAGCGCCCACAAACTAATCGCCAATGTATTCTCCCCACTGTTGTTGATCACCCCGGGCGGGAAAGGGAATCTAGTCTGGGGACCGATGTGCGGCAGGTAATGACCGAACTGGTACCCATTCATGAAGATCTGGACAACTGCGGGGCACTCAGATGCACCCAGCTGCAGACCAATCGGAACGTCAAGGCCGGAGTCCAAATCAAGTGTGAAGGTCGTCGTGTAGAATCGGCCTGCGGCACCAGATACACCATCTAGGGGACTGTCTGCGGTGGCCATATCGGACGCGGTGTATCCGGGGAGATGCCAGCCCAGACGTTCGCCATAGAGACCCCCTTCATTCATGGGTCCACGGACGGGGTCGACGTTGGCTTCGCCTCCCGCATTGCCTTGGATGCGCCAGGACGTGAAATTATCGCCAAGAAGCGTCGCACCCAATATGCCACGAGGGTTTTGGGCGCCATTCGGTGACACATTAGCCTCGTCGTGGCCGGTGTAATCCATGACAACGGTCAGGACATTGTTTGTCTTGCGCAGGGTGGAGCTGTTGAATAGGAGTTCCGCCGATGTCACGGCTAGGGCGGGATTGCCAATGGCTCCGCCCACGTAGACTCCATTTAGCCAGGCGGCCCAGCCAGCCGCTACGCCATTCTGAACGGTGAGATTTGCGCCTGTCGCGGTCACACCATCGAACCGTCCCCGGTAGATCTTCGTTCCGGCATGGTAGCCGTAGTCACCAGAGTAAAGCACGGGAAGGGTTAGGGGTGCTATGGAATTGACCGAGGTGGTTTTGTTGCAGACGGTCCAGCGAGAGTCATCATAGTCGGGCTGGATCTCTGGAAGGGTATCTTGCGCTTTCCATGAATTCAGGGTCGGCAGTGAAATCGGAGCATCCTGGGCTCCTGGGGCTGATCCGATCAAACTGCCGTAGGCTGTCTTCGTGGTTGAAATCTCCTCGCCATTCCACTTGATTGTGGTGACATTTGAGTTACCCGTGTAGACCCTAGCGTCACGTATTAGCCACGATTATCATTGGAGCATTAACATCGCACTTACTCCAGATATGTTGTGTTTGCGTTATCACCAACAAGACTGACGGTGTCCCCGCTAACATTGGCTGTGCGGACGAGATATGGCCCCAGGGCAAGAACTTGCTCACTGGGCGCCACAAGCGGATTGGAAGTAGTAGGGACTGCAAAGAAATTCCACGCTGTCTCCTTAGCGAGAAGATAGACTAATACACCATGCGAGAATTTCAGCACTGTTGTGCCGTCTCCTTGAGGATAAGTGTATTTGGTCCCCTGATCCGATGTGGCAGAGCTCACTTTCGAATTGCCGTATGTTTGGAAAGTCACATTGGTCGGTGCGTTTTTGAAGACAAACTCTCCAACCTGTCCGATATTCAGATAGAAAACAATGACATCTACATCGAGGGTGGCATATGTTAAAACTTCGGCGGATGAATAAAGCAAGCTCGAGCCATCACCGATCTGGTAGTCAGTGACAATAATTTTGCTCTGGCGGCCGGCCAACTCAATATTGGGGATTGTAAGGGCTCCTGTGGTTTAGGACTCAAAATTAGCGCTATTCGTCCTCTCAAACACCGGCATACGTACCAGCTGAAGTGTTGACATTAAGCGAAGTGGTAATCACAGCACGAGACGAGCTTGTAGCGTGCGCCAGAACATAGAAACCAGCATAGGTTTCCGGGTTCCGCAAGGCCCAGGTATAGATACTCGCCTCGCTAGTGTATCCCGTTCCATTCCCTTCCATTTCCGTTTTGAGAAGACCCGACGACACACGAGTAAACAGACCAATCAACTTGGTCTGCTTGAGCTTGTCCCGAATCTCACGGGTCTCCCGCAGGGGCGCAGAGTAATCGTACGAAGTATAGACAACCGGGGCAGCACTGTGTCCCCAAGAAGTTGCCCCCATCACCATATAGAGATTCTGCAACGTGACTCTGGATCCGATGTTATTCTTATAGTAGACGTCGGCAAATTCCGGCGACAGTTCGGTCGAACATTGATCGTAGAAAGTCCCTCCCCAGGCAGAGAACCAACCGCCCTCAAACTCCGGCAGGTACTCGGGCTGAGAACTCGAGTAGTTCTGGAACCACTGGTAATAAGTACGGACGAGATTGAACCCCGTGTTTGGGTTGGTGCAGGACAGACCACCAGGATAGGAATCCAGACCATAGATATTGACGGCACCCCCCACATCTTGGTAGTCCGTCGACCAGCTCATAGAGCGCATTCCCTTCTCGTTGTGTGTGCTCGGGATAACAATGCCGGCTTCGCTGAAAGCGGCTTGGATTTGTTCCATGTACGTGACAACGGTGTTATCGGCATTGTGAATTGTCTCCTGCAACTCGTTCTCGTGCTGATTGAGAATGACCGGACCACCATTTGTGATTTGATTTGCCGCGATGATCTTTCCAATCTTCTGGATCCATGGATACCATCGATCATAATAAGAGCTTGCGCTGGTGCGCGTGCTGCCCATTTGACCGTTGGATGCCCATAGTGCGAAACCGCCGGCAGAGGTCTCGGCGTTACAATATGGTCCTGCGCGTGCGATCACATACAAACCCGCCTGCTTCGCATAATCGAACACGCGCTGGACGTCATGGGCGCCGTTTTCGAAGTCGAAAGTATCTTCGGAAGCGGAGTGGAAACTCCAAAAAAAGTAGACTAATTGAAATGAGCACTAGCGCAGGCTAAGACTTCAGAGTCCATTCACTCACCAGAAATCGCATTAAATCCATTTGCGCGTAGCTTCTGAAACACGTCAAGCCAGAGCTCCGGTACGGGGAGTCGCTGGTAATGGAATTCACCGGAGAACACATACACCCTTTCTCCTTTGACTGAGAGGCTATATGTATCCCACGTCACATCAGTCGTCTTGCCATTATCCGTCGCACAGACAAGGTGATTGGATATGAGTCCAAGGAGGGCAGGGAGAAGTGCGAGGAGACGCATTGTTGAGAACTGTCCAGATACCTTTCATTTGGGAATAGGACTGGTTATAATCGGTGTTTTGTTCGGTCCTCGCTATGGAGATATCCCGTCCTGTGCGGGGATTGGTGGATGTTTTGCAGAACACATACCAGATCAGGCAATTTTCCATAATGTCTCATGTCTCAAGAGGGTCGTGAAGGTGCGGGGGGATGGTTTTTGACCAGGCCGCGATGCACTTTTATGTCTTTAATTGATGCTTGGTAGAAAAGTGACAGTGGTAGAATCGAAGAAGATGGCCAACTGAATGGTTTGTCTGTGCTGCGTGGTCGAAGAAGAAGAATAGGGACGACTCGTAAACGTGTTCCACCTAAGCCAACAGATATTCTGGATCTGTTGAAATTCAAAAGACGTCAAGTCCCCTTTCTGGTGTCTGTTTGAGGAGAATTGCTCTTTATGGCACCGGCGACAAGCCAAAGGATCCACAGGAGTCTCCCCGTCGGATTTGCACATCTTTCGATCCGCCCCATGATCAAGAAGCAACTTGACTACTTCCCATACCGATGCCAGTACTGCTAGGGGAAGAGGTGTGTTATCATCGGCCTTCTTCACAATGTACTCTGCTCCATGTTTCAATCACAATTGAACTGTCCCAACCATCTCTTTTGATGCTCCGTATGTCATGGCATGCAGCAAAGTTTGGCCATACGAGTCCAGCACATTAATGTCAGCTCCATGGGCCAGGATCGGCTTCACAGGATGCTTGTTGTCGATTTTGTAGATGGGGTTTGGCTCTTCGCTATCTCCAATGTCCCCCTCTGCACCATAGCTCAACAGAAGCTCCATAGATTTGTGGATGAATGAAACACAGGTTTCATTATTGAGGTTCTCAGGTTGGGACTCGTGTATTGGACGTCGTTGAAGATATCTTGGGGGTTGATATGATCTAGCAGTCGAATCCTATACCACTTCGAACACATTCCTCTGCGGCAATTAGCAAGATGGGAGACTATCCCCCAACGGGTACCAAGAATTGTGAAAAAGAACTAGAGGACACCATAGTAGCAGAATATCTGGTGCATGATATATGGAGTACGTTAGAGGTCGTCTCCGTTGCCGTGTGTGTGGATGATTGTTGGCCAGAGGCTGGGAAATTCGCTCTTTACCACCACTTCGCTGTCAGTGACTGATTCTCTCGTTTACTACCATCCACGACAGAACGTTATGTCTCTTCTCGCACTGTCAAGTGAATTGTTGATCATTATTCTAGCAGAATTGGAGGTTGAAGATGTGATATCAGTCCTCGAAACCCATCCCGATCTCTATCAGATCTCATTCCACAGCCTCCGCAGTCGTCGTTTGGATCTTAGACCGTACTGCACATCCGGGGATATCTTCAGAGTTCGATTGTTACTTCAACCAGGTGCGGATGCCGATAATAGTTCATTCCACTTCGGAACGCCTCTTTCCGACGCCGCGGCAAATGGCCGCGAGGAAGTCGTCAAATTACTGCTTGAACATGGGGCCCGAGTGGACCACGAACTCCATTTCAAACATCAACCTCTCCATGTTGCCGCAAAGAAGGGATAATTTACCATCGTGAAACTGATACTGGATAGCGGCGCTGATGTTAACAGCACGGATCTTTGCGGGCCCACCCCTGTCGTTGCAACCATCTCATCCAAGGGTGAATACTCTTACAACAGTGGAGGGCCGTGGAAAAGACGTGGTCTCTGTCTACACAGAAACCCCAAACGCCCTTCAGCTACTACGATACGATGAAGCTACTTCTTGATTCCGGTGCTGATACCCACATTGCCGATCAATTCTCCCAGTACACAGCACTACACACGGCCGTGTTGAAGTATCCCCATTTGCAACAGGATGCTGTTCATTTGCTGATTGAATACGGGGCCAATCCGAATGCTCAAATTCGGCACGGTGCAACTCCGTTACATTTGGTTGATGCCGCCAATCCAGCTTACGACTGTCGATCTATCGAGATGGCCAGAATCCTCCTTGATCACGGTGCGGATGTCAACGCACAGAACTGGGACGAACGAACACCATTACACATCGCAGCATCTGGTGGTACGCAAGCAGAAACACTCGCTGCAATGTATCTCGCCCACAATGCCAATGTCAATGCAACTGACTTTTATGGGATCACACCACTCCATTTGGCAGTCTCGAAAAAAAAATCACGCGCCAATATCCGAATCGTAGAGCTGTTGTTGAAATCGGGTGCTGATGTGAATGCGAGGTCCGTTAAGGGTCGGACACCTCTACATTTGGCAGTTGATGCTCACGCACCGAACGAAGTGTTCGAATGGCTTTTCGAGCATGGGGCAGACTGGAACAGTTCAAATGGAGAAACCAGCCTTGATACGCCGTTGAAAAAGATGAAAGAACGCATGGGGGATACTAGGACGTCTTTTTGATTCAAATCATGCCTTTTCTCTAGCTTAATCTACATCTGTAGCTGACAAAATTCCTGGTCATCTGGGCTTTTTGCAATTTCAAGTAGGCCCCTAACGATTCTTGAGATTCCCTTTTCTAGACCATCAAGGATATATCCAAGGACACTCGACTAGCCTTCAGGCTCTGTTCTGCTGGCTGTTTACCTATTCAAGCTCAAGTTTTCCACTGCCAGCATCAAATCTCCAACCGGGCCCATACCCGTTTGATCAAAAGTAGCAAATGCACCGCGAGAGGAGCCGTCAGACAATCCCTCGACAAGGCCCGACCATTCCGTGGGTGAGAAATATGATAATTCGAGAGAGACGCGTGCCAAGACGGCGAACTCATTAGCGTAATGCATAAATCCATCTTGCTCATCGGCTATATGGCTCGAATCTCTCGATGCTCGCTTATTCAGGTCTTGCTGTTGATTCAATTTCCAAGCGACCTCCCACCGGTCGAGTGCCTTCCCTAGCGGGTTTTCAGAAAGAGGAAGGGTGTACAGTGAGGATCTTTGATGAAATATGAGACCGTGGATTGCTGTGTCTCGAGAGTTAATTGAACGACCTGCGAACAAGGTCGAAGAAGAGCTCACCTGTAGCGATCGTGAATAAATTCAGCTCGCTAGCACCGTCCAAGAAGTTCGTGCTTTGGGTTGGAGTCTCATTGCATAACCTGCGAACGGAATCCACAAGAGAAAGATTCTTCTCCGGCAGTCCAGGGTTTGACTGGACAGCAGTTAGGAAGTCGGCAGAAGAGGATGCTTGAAACCATGACTCTGGAGATGTCAAATCAATCTGCATCTCCTGGAGAACCATTCGTGGGAATGAATTATGTAAAATCACGAAAGCCGAGTCTAGAAGAAATACATAGTTGCACATTCTGTGTTTGAATTAGCATCTGACTAGCAAGCTTAATTTTCCTTGAACACACCTATTGACTTCTTCTCTTTGAATCCACGCTCGCCAATCGGAATCGCTAAATTTTGAGGTAATGGGTCGGTGACTCTGTCTAGCCCTTGAAAGTCCCATTTCACGTGTTGCCTGCAAATAATTAAACACTAAGTTGTAAAACGAAATTGCAGGCTATTTGATAGACAGTACGTACGGACACGAATTTCGTAAATTGATCACGCTGGATGCGGATTTTTGCTTCATTGCTCCCTTCCCACTTTTGCATAATACAAATCAGATAGGTGGCTTGCAAAGTGCTGATTTGAGTTCGATGGCCTTGATCTGCATCTTTGGCCCTAGTTGCTACGGTCGAGAACATAGGCTGCGAGAACACAACAGCTTCTGTAATGTCAAGGATTGACCTTGCAATATGGCGATCGGCCTTATATGGGGATATACAGCCTCCCATGAGGACCATGTTTGCAAGAAGGAGAGGCGAACAGGATTCGATTCTGAATGTAGGCCTGTGGAAAATTAGACAGTGAGGATGCCAGCGGTCCCAAAAAATATCAACGAAATGGAGGATATTCTCTGGCGAGAAGAATGACATGATATCAGCCACATGTACGCTCCGTTCTGATTTATCATCACAGAAAGGGAGAAGCATGTCCCAAATGTGACAGGACTGAAGCCTTAAGGCATCATTCACAGGGTCTCCCCTTGTGGGACTGTCAGATCTAGTAGATGGTGCTCTGTCCCCATCTGACCATCGATAGTCCCCACCCCGAAGACAGGAATTTGGGCTCATGGGAGAGGTCACCTCTTCAGAGGCACTGCGGTCGTGTTGGTCATCTGCCACGAACAAGCGATTGCAGTTATACGCTTCATTGATTCCAGCGGCACGAGTAAACTTCAAGAGAAAGTTAAACCGGCACCTACCAGCAACGCCCAATTTAGTTCTCAACTGTTGGCCGTGGATAGTTGGCTTTTGCTGGGCTTCGGAAGCGCCAGGAACATCGAGCCCGCTAATGCCACCATGATCATCTACCGCGCTCACAGAAGTTTGTGGATATCTTTCGCTCTTCTGAATATATGTGCATTCAGATTCTTGAAGAGTGCACTCAGCACAAGGGTTTCCTTGGTTACAGGCGCGTTTGCGCTCTGTGCAACGATCACACGCACGCTTTCTCTTTCCAGATCGAGCACGCTGAGGAACTTGGTTGCCAGTTGCTAAAAGAGATGTGCAATTCTTCCAGTGACGGCGAAGGGTATCACTGTCAATCCGTCAAATGGCCGAGCTATCAACTTAAAGTTGGCCTAACTTTACCTGCGTGTGAATTCGGAACCACAGAACTCGCAGAAATGTGGTTTCTTGTCAACATCTACCAGTGAAAGATTTGGTGGTTAACAACAACAAAAAGGACAGTGAAAAAGAGTTTGATCGTACGGGTTGATTTGTGTCTCTTGAGGTGTTGGATCTTTCCAAAGGTTTGGGAGCAAACAGAGCACTGAAAAGGTACAGAGTTCACTTGGCCATTTGAGGAAGTTTGAGACTTCATTTTCAAGGAAGCCCACGAATTTCTTGTGTTTAAGTCCACATTTGAAAATGTAGATCCTAAGCTTTGGGGTGATGTAAATGGAGAAAGAGAAAAGGCTTGGGGTGCTGGTGATGATGATGCGCATGTCACATGTTCTGGGGTATTTTAACCATTCAAAACACACACACGTGTCTACAAGCCCTGAAATGTGCATAAATATGCGATCTGCATACATAACTCTGTATTCATACAGTAACCTACTATAGCCTCATACCAAATGCGTAGGATCGTCTTTGGTGCCTTCACATAGTCTTTACTCATATTTACATTCCGATTTCTTAGCCAGTATCTTCATACACACTTTTGAATAACATGAGACATGCATCAGGGTTTTGCTGAAATTCTACATTGAAAGGATCCCTCCATTTCCCCAATCCCCGAGCTGCGGATCCGGACGTGGTCATCTTGAGAGATCGGATGAAACTCGAACTGGCTGACCAATGTAGTCACGGTCTTTAAGATATTGGTCATGGCAAGATTTCGACCAATGCACATGCGGTGTCCGATACTGAATGGGATGAGGAACCGACTCTGGTTGGACTCGTCTTTTTCCAGCCATCTATCCGGTCGAAATACCGCGTGATCTTCACCCCAGATCTCTGGATTGTGATGGAGAACATAGTTTGATATGCAGACATTTGTCTGTTTTCATAGATTCAAAGGTCAGTATTGTGGATTGAAGACAACCCCCTGAACAGTTAGAAGGGTAGCCAAAACTTACACCGCATGGTATGTCAAATTCTCCAACTCTCGCTCCACCTGGTGACCCAACACGTCGCCACAGCGGCATGGTAAACACTGGATTCAGACGGAAATTCTCCTTCACGCATGCCATGGTGTATGGCAAAGAAGCCTCTAGTCCCTTGATGGGGTAGGAGCTATCTTTATCTTGTAGTGGTTGGAGGGTACTAGCTACCTCGGCGGCAACGGCAGCACATATCTCAGGGTTGTGGATGAGGTGCCAAAAGAGAAGTGTCAAGGTGCCAGAGGTTGAATGAGAGCCTGCTACCCTGGTACGAGTAAGTACATAATGAAAGATTTCCAAGTGGTAGGGAGATCCTCACAGCATAGCAAATGCCTCTGAATTGATTTCTTGCTCGGTGAGACTAGCACCAGTTTCAACGTCTTTCGCAGTCACAAGGCTTTGGAGCAGATCTCGACGGTCGGATGCATTGTTGATCTTGTTGCTAACACACTCGGAGCACGTGGCTTTGAGGTTATTTCTGCTCTTTCCTAGTTTTCTCATCCACGAAACGGGCGACCATCGCGCTAGGAACGTTGACAGGGCCTGGAAGGGAAGTTCACCAACTACGCAGGATAAGAGAATGTGGTCGTTGATTGCGTGTATTTCATCTGCTTCTCCTCTGACTTGGGCATTAAAAGGTCGACTGAAGGCGACCTCGCCCAGGATATCAAGGACGAAGTACGAGATGGTAGACTTCAGGTCGAAGACCTCTTCGGTCTGTGCAAATTTATTGAGTTTGTTGAGTAAGATCTTTATGTGGCCATTGATGAGAGGCTCGAAATTCTCGACAGATGCTTGTGAGAATCCGTGGGCTAGTTGTCGTCGACGAAGGGAATGGACCTGTTCTTGTTCAGCGGGTGGTCTGATCAAATCGGGAGGTGCCTTTTTTACATCTTCATCCCTGCCCCCAAATAGATTGGGGTTAAATGCCGTAAATGCATCATAAAACTCCGTCTTTCCCATTTTCCTACCTCCCTTGTAGATTGGGGCGATAGCTTCACCATCCCAGAAATGGAGATGGTTAGGACCGATTCGGACGACGGGGCCATACTGCTGGTGCAGCTCAACTAGCTTCTCGTGAAGAACTAGTTTGTAAACGTAATATGCCCTCCAGAGGCTCGTCAACGAAGCTATTTTTGGGCCGGGGTATTGCGAAAGGGGATGGAAATATAATATGTAGGATATGTATACCACGAGCAGAAGACCGATGACCAGGCTGGTTATTTGGACCGGTCCCAGAACGGGGAGTGCGACAAGTGATACTTCGAACATTTTATAGAAAAATATAAGGGGCACAGAAGATAGGAATCCAAGAGCCCATCTTTGACCTACAAGTCGAATTTATATCAAGCAAAAACGGAACTGCCGTGACTACCATCCAGGTCGAGGTTCCCCACACTTTTGAAGCCGCGGAATTTCCCACCATGATACACTGTACATTTATTATCCCGACTTAAAAAGACATACACGATCTGCATAAAATGCTATACCTCAATGAGCCAATTGGCCTTGACGTATTGGAGATGTGAACTCTTCCGTTTTCGTTCCCGGAATCCCGCGCCAAGTAACCCCAACTCATCCCGCAATTAGCGTGGATCTCCCGCACCAAAAATTCACTTCATTTTGGTTGTCATCCCACTTCATACCAGCGTAATTCGAGATAAGTAACAAAAGTCTCTGCAGTCAGATCTCCGTACCAATGAGCCTAGTTTTCCAGATAGACTTAACACGTTCATTGGTATGTTCACTGGAACCCCAAATGCGGCATTTGATCCCGAGTTGTCCAAGAGGGGGCGAGTGTGGGGAAATCCCGCGGTGCACTTATGAACCGTCAAGGACCGTCCTCCATTCCAATGGAACATAGTACCCCCGCACATAATCCATATCCGACATGTCTTCAGAGTCGTAGACAGTCACTCCCCTGCAGCTAAATAAGAACTTAGCCCCGTTCGTCCCTTCCATGGAGGCTTCCGAGAAATTCCAAGAACATCACTCACACCAAAAAAAGAACTGAACTGATTTCCGCCTCGCAGGGAGTAGGCGGAAAAAAACCCCCCCCACATTCCCACCCCATTGGCTAAGAAGCGCCTGCTTATAGTGAGGCTAGACATATGCAACAGCCTCCCACCGCCTCCTCCCCCGAATCCCCGGGCCTCGAAATTCTGGAGGATGCAAGAGACACCGTGAACTGGGTCTCTGCAAATGCGAATGCTTTCCCCGGCTAACTTTGGGTTGAAGGAGGGAAGTCCCGCCTACGGTCTCTTTGCATGGGGATGCGGATGAGTTGGTTGGGTTTAAACAGAGTGTTGCTGTCGTTAAGAGCTTAAGAGGGACTTGGGGCAGGTGTTTCGATGGAGGGAGTTGAGGGACAGGGATATGGGTTTGAGGTGAAGGTGGTTATTGATGGGGAAGGGGATGGGGATGAGGCTGTGGCTGTGGCTGATACACTTAGATGGGGTATGGCTCATCGTGAAAGACATGATCAATGATGTTGCCAGGGTTTCAATAAAGACATGGTTGATTAGATCGTGTACATACGAAGCACCGAAAATTACTAGCAAAGTAAGCAATCCCAACCCCAAGACCCCCCAGACCCCCGATTTCAAGGTCCAAAAAGCGCCTGTAAATTATCCGTAAGATCCAAAAATAGCAAAATCGTACATCAAGGCAACGTTTCAAATAGACACACACATCTACGTTCAACATAAGAATCACAGATTCTCAGAGAATCTCGATTCCCTTCTCCCGTTCAACGTCTCACCAATAGTGGGTGGCACAGGAAGAATCTGTCCGAGAGTACTATCCTGCAGACTCTGGATGTCACCGCCGCCGACATCCTTGGAGGAAGATTGAATTCCCGAGTCACGACGGGAGTCACCATTGTTCGACCCATCAGGGCTACCGGAGACGGCCCTGAGGAACGTCCTGCTCAGACGATTCCTCTTCTTGCCGTTCCCATTCTGCCTGGTAGAGTTGGACAAAGAATCGGCACTGTGAATCTTGGCCACATCCAAGTCGTTGCTGTAGTAGCTCGAAGATCTATTGTAGGTTGGGATGAATTCACCCACGACCACAGGGTGTGAGCCAAGTGCTGCACCGCGGGGCTCGTCGCGGCCGGTTAGACTGGCGCCGCCTTGGAAGGCGGGTTCGTTGTCAGTGTTCAAGTCCGGGCCAGGCTGGTGGGGATAGATGGGGACTGGGCCACTGGATCGGCGAACAAGACGGTCACGGAACCAGTTCTTGAGCTTGGTGTCGGCGCGTGGGCTTGTCACAGGTGGTGTGAAGTAGTGCACAACCGTAGGACCTGAGGCAGCTGCATCTCGCTGCTCGATCGGGGGGGGCTCAGTCTGGCTTCGTGTCGGCTGCCGTGAGATTGCGGCGGGCCGGTCGTTTTCATCGGACCGGGAAGGTTCTGCCTCTGGGACTGAGGACGTGGCTGCAACAAGTGTAGCGGGACCGGCTGTCTCCGTGACAATAGAATCTTCGTCTGGGATGGTGACCGTCGAGACATTGTGATCTGTTCCAAGCGAAGCTTGCTCGGGAATACTGTCCGTTGAGTCGTTGTTGTACGGGGCTGCAGTAGGAGCCGGCTCTACTACAGCTACCTGGGAAATAGGTGAGACAGCTTGAGCCTCTTCAGTCTCTGATTTCTCAACCCGAGCTCGTTTACCCTTCTTTCTCCACAAGAAGAATTTGGGAACCTTGCTCTCGGATTTGCTGTCGCGCTTCCTTGCCCCTAGTTCCTTGATCAGATGACACATTAAAAGAGGAAAAGACAGCACAACGAACCTTTTTGTTGCTTCTCCAACTCCTTCACCTCAGCTTCGCGCTGACGCTCCACAGCAGCATGTCTCTGCTCCTCCTCAGCATCCAGACGGGCTTCAATATCGTGGGCTCTCCGTAGCTCGGCATTCTCGGTAATCTCGTCGAGAGTAGGCTGGAGGCGAGACCGAGCAACAGCGTCGATGTCGGCCTGTTCCATATACTTTTGGCCGCCGATATTTACTCGATTGTCCTGAGTAGTAGCTGCTTCAAAATCTTCTGCCTCCCGTCGCACGCGTTCCTGGGCAACTTCATCCCATCCCTTCTGTACCGAAGGGGGAGCGCGACCAGTGTTGGCATAAACTTGCGCCTCCATGTCCTGGAGGGTTCGGTCCACATTGCGGCGGGCAGCTTGCATGAGAAGTTCACGATCCTTTGTCTTTCGGACATCCACTTGGTCCAACTTGGTCCGCAGGCTGGTCATCTGGCTCCGTATTTGCCGCGACTGCTCTGCGTCGATCTGAGAGGCATCCGCGTCGCTCGAAGTTCGTTTGCGGCGAGTGGTCAAGCGCGACCGTTGTGGTGGAGGCGCGGTGCCATAGTATTGCTGGTACTCTGCATTTTCATCTTGCATAAGTGCCAGCTTCTCAGCGGCTCGCTTTTGCGCTGCTTCTTGTAGGGCGATTGCGCGCCGGACAGCAGCCCCATCCACGGTGGATACAGTCTTGCGGTAGCCAAGTTGACTTTGTCCTTTTTGGGCCGCTAGGATGGCGGGGGACTGGCCTGGTTGTTTCTTGGTACTGGTGACTCTGTACATGTCCTTGGCCATGGATATGGCAGCAGCGCGTTGCGAGTTTTTGTAATTTTGTTCCTCAATTTCGCATTGGACAGGTGGCGACGAAGTATACAGCCTCGGATTCGTGCTAGCGGCATGTTGGATCCGGCTTGCTTCTAAAGCGGGATCTAAGTGGTCCAGGGGGCCTTCCTCTTGTACGCGAGCATGTCGCGACGCGCCAGCGGCTGAACGGCCATATGATGATTCAGAGGTGACCCCTGGATCACTGGGTGCTGAGTCGGCTCTCTTGCGGGAGAGTGTATAAGCGCCCGACGCTGCCTGGAGCGCCTTTTCATTCGGGTTGCCACCGACGGCTGTGTGGTGGTAGCGATCGGTCACCGAGCTGCCACGCCTGTGGCCAGCGGATGTAGGGGCCTGGTCCACCGAGGCTCTCTTTTCCCGCACGGCGATCATAGCAGCTCCCAGTCCCTCCGTACTATGCCCGGTAGCAGGTTGGGGTTGCTGGGGTGGAGCGTAGTCCTTCACGCATAGGGCTGCCTTCTCCGCGGCAGGCTGTCTAGTCGGGGGACGCCATACTTCAACAGGTTTGCGGTTCGCGTGTGCGAGAGCGGAGGCCGCGGAGGCGTGGCTGAGGTTTGGAGCACCGCTGCCGGCGCGTGAGCCTGCCGCAAGGCGCATTGTCAGCTGGGGTGTATTCGTCTATCGTCTCGAGGGATGAAACTCACTTAAGTGTTGGGAATTTGTTGCAGTCGGGGCGCGCAAAGATGCCCTACGTTCAGGATGTGTCACATACAGAGCAGCTGTCGCGGCTATCTCACGTGAGGTTAGCGATCCGACCGTAGATTGGATGCACGATCATCTTACCGTCATCTGCTAGCCGGGACTGGCGAGTCACTTGCACAGTTGCCATGATTTAGGAACTGCAACAAAGACAGATAAAACATAAGTCATGGGGAATGAAAAAAAAAGAGGATAGCAGAGAACAAAACTATATGATGTGGAATGGAAGTCCGGAAAGCTTCTTTCATCCCCGTGACGTCGATTGGAAAGCCATTGCATCATCGCCTTGGGGGATTGGGGGGATTTTAAGATTTTTTTTGTGGGGAACCTCGATCTGTCCCGGAGCTACGGAGTGCTTCGAGCTCCATGGGCGCTAGGCAAAGATCTAAGTGGAGTGACGATTCCGCTTTTGAACGAGCGGAGGCCCATTTTTCGGTGGTGACGTGAGGACTTGAATCATTGTCTGAACGAATCCTGATCTACATCGTTTGATCTCGTTCTACGTTATAGATACCCCAATCCTCCACGTTGCAGGATTGAAATCGTGACGATAACACTCAGCTATACTAAGTGATCGGGCAGTGGTGTACCAAGGGGTCCTTGAGAGCCTTAATCAGGCACCATTGCCAAGGATTTGATCAACCACACAGTGATTTTAGCTGCATTTCATTGAAGTGGTCTAGATTAATGCAGAGACTTGAAAAGTCATGCACTCCCCCATCAAACATGCCGATGTAGTATTCCGGTGTATGCATTTCACGCTTCGATCTAATTCTCACGGCTAAGACATGGAGTCCAATGGATCATGACTCAGGACCCCGCACAACGTACCACCAGTCCTAGTATTGCTCCTAGTCACCGCCACTTACTATTGATAGGACATATGAATGTACTATAGGCCTGCACTTTGCACAGTATTAACCCTGTGCTATAAACGAGTTACCGCTGTTTCCGACTTGCGAGCGGCGGCTGGATATCTCATAGAGTTATCCAGCAGCAGATAACGAAAAGGCCCATCGCTTAAGAGATTTACATCTCATTGTACCATACTACACATTTTCATCGTGCCAATTTTCTGCCAATTTTCTGCCAATTTTCTGCCAATTTTCTGCCAATTTTAACCCAACCCTGGGAATAATGGGACCATCGGGATAGGAAACGGGTGACCCATCAAAAATTTCCACAGGAGTAGAATAGATACATTTTGATGGCACTCATTCTCATTTGAAGTCCACGATGGTGTACTCGGGGACATGACTATTGTACACATCGTCCCAAATCAAGTGTCATTAAGTAATGATCGGACTACCAGAGAGGAGAGAGGAGTTGTTGTCGACTATTAAACAGGAAGCTACCTATAACTATAGCTAGAGTGGGGGGCTTGGTAATCAAGCCACCAAGGCAAAAAGGACGTCTCAACATTCTAACTATGTGAGCATTTTTTTAGGCGACGCCACTACTGAGGTAGATCCTGAAGCGATTCGTCTGGTTGAATCAATCCTTAAACAAACCCCCATCATGCGCCACAAATTGCACCATCCATTCCGCATGGCCCTGAAGCTACGCCAGCCTTTCTTGGCAGATACTAGTCTTACCGAATTTATGGATCGAGACCATTCTTCGTCATTCATGGAAACATCTGCTTCGACGTTCTCTGTTTGCCTGGGGCACTGAGCGAGATTATCGGGGTTTGATTTTTATACAGGCGCGGATACAGATGGAGAATCAGGAATGTACGGAGAGGGTAGCAGAGGAACGGTTAGTTATAGAATGAATATCAGGTATCATCCATTCGAGCTTCTCTCTGAACTCTATACGTGAGCCGTGTTTCAGTATCTAGCTAGCGATGTGAAGAACCAGGAACTGAACTGAAAGATCATATAATGTCATGGCTGGTCGTTGCCGTTCTCATCCAATATCGAGCTCGTATCAGCTGTAACGGACATCGGGGGTTTCTTTCCTAGGTACTGCTTGTTATTGATCAGAAGCCAAGCGGCTCCTCTACCGTTGGGAGTACTCAACAAGGCCAATTCATTCCGGTTGATCAACACGCCGCCTTCCTTCTTTTGACTGATGTCGAAGACCTTTCTGGGCCACGCCAGACAAGGGCCACCACACACAGTTCTCATAACATTCAAAGCATCCGCATTGATGATGTGTCACTGGACCAGGTACTTCGGATTTGCCATGGAGCTACCGGTAGACTTGGCTAACGCGGCATGACTGAGCCAGATCACGTCGGACAATTTGCTAATCGATTAGTTTCGCCCACTTATAATCTCCGTGGGACTTCGATTGTTCTCTGCAATGATCAGGCTGGCTTTAGGACTCATAGGGTTAGTGTCGAATCCATCTGTTGGCTGTACCAGGAAAACCAGATCAGCCATTCTCTATAAACTATGCTTCTCTATTTACGAGAATGAATGACAAAGGTCAACCTTACTGCTATGCAAATCGACTCCCTCCCACTAGTTTCACTGCTCGTATCAAGTAGGAGTGTACCATAACGAGGAGCCGTGAAAGGCTTGTAGTATGACCGATGGCACCGAAATCTAAACTATTTCCGTACGAATTTTTCGTATGTTTCTCTTGCTTCGTCTTTAGTTTCCTATGTCTTCATTCAATCTCGGTGTTTGTCTCAAGACCCTTTTATGGAGACTTCAAATAAGGCTATGATGTTTTCGGACAATCAAGCGGTGGTAGCGTTGCGAGCCGTAAATGTCTCACCACGAGGGTCTGTCTAAATGCTGCATTATATACAATGGATCATAAGGCATAATTTTTCTGCGATGGGGAGGAAATTGTGAGAAAAAAATTCCTGCCATTTGTATCACTAGACCATAACAAAAACCAATGTGAACGTTTAGGGGGCCCCTAGGCAGAAATGGACATCAGGGCCCACACAGAGTGGATGTGCTCCATTGGAATCCTGAAGCCTTTTTCAATTTGCGCTGATCCCTTTTGATTTCCTATGCAAAAAGTGTATAGTATCTTTGATTAAGTGAAAACTTGCGTAATTCTCGCCTTTCTTGAGGCTAAGCAAGCGTTATCACCAAGCATTATTCCATCCGGAAACAGACAAAACCCGCTGTGAGAGAAAGAGTCGGTTTGCTTTCTTATTCCCTGAACGAGTCGAGGCTTGGGTCACACTTATCGTGTGTCCCTTGAGGTGTGTTCGAGATGGGATTGCCCTAATGGTGAAAATGGCGCTTCCTAACCGTTGATATCTATGATCTGATAGACAAGATCATCAAGGCACAATGTAATGTGTTGTAGTGGGCTTCTGTGTGCTGATGGAGATAGGAGGAAAGGAAATAACTAGTCTCCTATGGGAGATTCTGTATCATCTTCAGAGGATTTAACACGCTTTCATTTTTATTTTAGAAAGGTAAGGCATGTTCTGGTGATGGAAAATATCAGCAACAAATACTCTAGAACACAATGTGGCACGTAGTCTCGTCCAGTGAAACATCTGATCTCTAGCGTTAGATCGTCGACGATAACGGCTGTTGGTTGGTGACAATTGAATCGTTTCCCATGTTTCTCGGTTGGCGAAATATGTGCATTGGGGGCACTTCGAGCATAGTGGCCACGGACCAGGATGTGCGGCCAGACGTAGCTCCTCATCAACGGATAGATCTTTCCACTGATGTATGCCTTGAGAGTGTTGTGCATCAAATGATTGTTAGCCGGAAGAGAGTCATGGCCAACCCTTACTATGGCTATGATGTTCATCTGTTATGCATTAAGTCAAACCCGCGTAGATATTGTGGACGGATCCGGGCTATACATGCAAAAAACACTTGTATAAACTAGTTAAAGCAACAGTTTCTTACTACATTCAACAACCGTTGTTATTGTAAAAGTGCTCATTTTTGTCAACGGATTAATCGTCACCTAGCGAGCCCAAAGGATCGGTAAATTTGTTGATTCAGCCGATATTTGTGTCGAATTGAGTAAAATGATATAGGTCTCATAGCAGATGCTTGCTCTATCACTCTTGTCACGTATGATCATGAATATCCACTTCTTGAACTGCCGAAGAATTCCAACGTTACCAGCACATCAACGGAGATGAAGCATCTCGAGGATGTCATGACGGGCAAAGAAAGACCGGTTCCATTTCCCAAAGACATCTACACCGGAAAATCGGTTAATTAGGCAAAGAATCAAGATCAAAGTCATACACTTGGCAAGACTTACACATGGGGATGCTCAATAGACAGATGCCCACTTGAATGCTACCGATGATGATCATGGTATGTTTGATTCCTCCGTGAGCAAACCATTTGTAGGCGAAAAATGTCAGAACAAAACTGAGCATGTTTTTGAAAACAAGCATGCAAGTAAAAGCCTCAATGGCAATCTCGCCTATTATTGTCAGCAATCACTTCCACCTAAGACCTGGTAGTCCACATACGATGAGCATCGACGATGTAGAGTGAAGCAGCAACGGCTCCCATCACCATGCCGACGATCAAGAATGCCAAAAAGACATCTGGTAGCAGCCAGCTATATTGCATCGCATCATCTGCGGTCCATCCGAACCCGTAGAGTCCGATGCCGCAGAAAATGAGCTGGGGGACCACCAATAAGATCCGGAATTCAGGCTCGTATTTGCCGCGATTGAGCCGGACCATCAACTTGTTCATGGAATCAGAAAGCAGACCAGACAGGATGAGGCCCACAACAGAACCGATGAAGGCACCTGTGTAAAGATATCCAGTTTTGTCTTCCTCGAACCACATAGGCGGTCCCAGAAATACAATTGCTAGAACCACACCGACGAAGACCGTCCATCCAATGACAACACCTTGGATCAGACAAGCCTAAACCTTCGTCAGTCTGTGAAACTAAATGCAAAGTGTGTTGCTTACCCAGAAGATGCCTGGATGGAAGAACAACGGGAATGGACGAAGGAGCAGCTTGAAGAAGCTTTCATCTGTCATTCGTCCATCGAAAAGCCTAAGCAACTGAGCGAAGGAGTATTTCTCAGAGACTGTTATTGTGGCTTCGGCCTTCGAGCTTCCGTTCAGACCGTTGGAGCCTGGTCCGGGCTCCCTAGTACCATCAGTGGAAGCTCCACTGAGCGAAACATGAGACTCCATGGACTCGCCATGCTCGCTGCTTCGCTTGAAGTCGGTATTCAAGTAATCAGAACGCCGGAAAGCAGTTTCAGGGACAAAAAATAACATCAATGGCAATGAAACACTTAGGAAAATTGCCACAAAGTAGAAAGACCACTGCCAACCCATGGACTTGGTGATCTTGCCTACCACAACGGGAGTCAGGAAGGCCGCGCCAAACAGTGCGACATTGGATACAGCCATTCGCTTCCCTCGTTCCTGCATGTTCTCAATCAATCTCATCAGGTCTCAAATCTGCAGGAGAAAAAAGGCCTAGCTTACATGAACGAAATAAAGATCCCCAACGCAGGCATTGACCAACGCCTCAAACGGCGCCAGTGCAACACCCTGGAATATCCGTGCCCACATGAGACTATTCTTGTTCTTACAACTAACCCCTGCCCAGATACAGCTGATGATCATCAAGACATGCCCGATCAGGAATAGATGACGTTTACCCCAGACTCGAGCCGTTGGCACAATGAGAATGCCCGCCACACCGACACCGCAGAGGTGATATCCCGTCAATAGAGCGGCTGTTGTGAACGTGATTTCCTCATAATCTGCGATGGTAACTGTATTTGCGGCTAGGATGGAGCTTACGGTTGTGCAAAGGATGCTTACGGATGAGAGGATAGCAAGGATCATATCGCGTCGGCATAACGGCCAGTTCTAATGGAACCATTTGGGTCAGCACTTTTGTGCTTATTGAACCAGGTCCTAGAATACGGTGCTCTTCTGGAACCTACCAATGGGTCGTTTGGGTCATCGCTCGGTTGCGGGACGAGGATTATCGGCCGGCTGCCCGACCAATCGCATTTGAGGCCTGAGGCGCCTGGGATCTGGTCGCTCGCATCGTTGTTTTGTTCGTAGATATCAGAAGTGCCTGGAGTTGGAAGTGGTGATGAACCATGTTGGATTCGATTGCGCCAAAGCTAAGGGAATCTTACCTGGAACATGGGCAAGCTTCGTATCTTCCAGCACCCCAAGACCCATGATTGTAGGAAACTCACGACGCGGTGCTTGTATGCCTTGAGGTAATGTAGCGGTTTAATAGAAAATAAAACATTGTCTGGAGGGGTACGGAGTATGTGAGCTCAAACTCCCATGACCCTCCAAACAAGGAAGCTACGTGTGAAAGCTTCTTGGGGCCAATAGGGATATATAGTTGACTTAAGTAAAAGTGAGAGGTCAACACTTAGGATTAAATTTTAGGACTAAATATAAGGACTAACCCTAGGAAAGATAAGCAGCTCGGTCGATATGTACATTAAGACCCGAGTGTGGGCGTAACCTGCAGCGCCATTGTTTCGAATGTGATTGAGGTAAATTTCAAATCCTTGCTTATTCAATATAGCACACTCAAAGCTCCATTCAATTCGTTCAAGCCAACCAAAGGTCCTTTTTATTTAATAGCTTACAGGATGGTACGAGTAGGACGCGGAGAAAGCTGGCCTACGGTCCCATTGTCGGCGCTTCTAAGCTTAGACCGAGGCATCATTCTTGTGCTTGGCCGCTGATCCAATATTCGACCGAGATACAGATAGATCTCTGCAGTCGATAAGGAAACAACTCAAAGAAGTGGTTTTGCTTTTGTAGCACACAGGCTCAACCCCCCAAGTTCGGTGTTGATGAGATCAGGGACTGGCCCACTGTGGAGGAAACAAACCCACTTGTGCTGACCCGGGGGATTGCAGACTTCCCATTTGAACCTTGCGATTGGTATAGAGTGTAAGTCGTACAACCCGAGTCATCGTCCTCTTATTAAAAATAGGGGGGGGGGCGTGGAAGTGAAGCATTGTAGAAACAAGGCGACGGGAGAGGTCTGCACTTGGAATATAGTTGGGAAGTAAATGCCACAGCCCCCAAACTGAAACATCCACAGTTACGCCCAGACCTCTAGGTAATTTTGTGAAATGTCAATACGAGATGGTCTCGAATTCAAAACCATTGGAGGCACATCGATTGGTTCTACACAAACGGCTCCTGGTCCAGGCCCCAGTACCGTAGTCTCGCATTTAAAATCAGACGTTGCCTTTTAGAATATTCATCAAAACAGAAGAAGATGAGAAACTTCGCTGCACAAGCATCCTTACCAGCACGTGATAGTGTACTGTCATGTGACACGTCATGTGATGATAAGTCACATCACCATCAATGGCTTCGAGAGCTAGCTAGACTCCCAAGTTGGGTGGCGCGTTATTTTCCACAGTAGCGGCTACGACGTTATCACATCCCTCATTGAAGTCGAATCCGTGTCCTTGAAGACCTACACCCCTCATCAATATCAAATCCCAATCACCGGGTCCACGCTCTCCTCACCTAAGACTACTGTGCAGCGAGCACGCGCACAAGCACTGACACAACACCCAAGATCCACTACATCTATTCAACCCCATTTTAATCATGTCGTCCGTTTCTCCTTCAAAAGAACACGATCTTGACCCGGAGACGCAATCAGGAGAAGAGCAAGAACACTTAGACAAGGATCACCACGACGCGCAGGGACACCAAGGCGAGTTTGAGGTGAAGGAGCAGGATCGGTGGCTTCCAATTGCCAATGTGGCCCGTATCATGAAGCTTGCACTTCCTGACAATGCGAAGATTGCAAAAGAAGCCAAGGAATGTATGCAGGAATGTGTGAGCGAATACATTTCATTTATCACAAGTGAAGCATCGGAGAAATGCCAGCAGGAGAAGCGCAAAACTGTCAACGGCGAAGACATCCTATTTGCCATGACCTCGCTTGGCTTCGAAAATTACGCCGAAGCACTCAAGATCTACCTATCCAAGTACCGTGAAACCCAGTCTGCCCGCGGTGACAATCAGAGACCACCAAGCGCTGGCTATGGAGTTGGAGGACCTGTTGGTGGCCAGGCCGGAGGTGCGCCTGGCCTAGCTCGTCCAACGGGCTTCTCCAATGCTGAAGGCACCAACCCTATGTCGAATCTCAATCTTGACCCGTCCGAGCAAGATGCATCTGCCTACGGCTATCCGCCCATAGTTGGCCAGCCTCATAACGGCGCAGGTGGCGAGTCATACTAGTGGATAATGCGAAGGAGTCAGCTGAGGGAAATTGCCACCAGTTTGAATCTTGGCTGCATATTCTGGAGTTCAACGACGGTATCGATTTGAACAGACGCCTGAGAAGTGGGGGAAGGCAAGGTGGGGTGCATCTTTGATTTCTACAATGTTCATCTGCACTGGTAGGTATCCCGGCTACTTGATATAGAAGGAGGGAGAGATGTGTTGGGATTTGTGGCTTCCTGGCTTCCTGGGTGCCTGAAGCCTGGACCTTTCCCCGTTTATTTGTCAAACCCTGCTTCCTAGCTTGGTTTTCATCTCTCTTTCATGTCATCTACCGGAGATCTTTTCTCCCGTGGCTTCGCCATCGAGATAGACGTGGGGTGCGTTTAAATACCCCCTATGTAAAATACCCAGGAGTTTTGATATTTAATATCCAATCATTCAAAAACGCCTCTGTGCCGCCTTTTGTGGGGAATTCTTTGGGAGCTAGTTGCAAGGCGAAAGGTTTTGCGGGGAAAAGGTACTGTTGATCTGTGTACTAGTGTATTTTTGACCTATCTATTGGGGTATTACCACGTCCTGCACATGCAACCTGATCTAGAGAACAAAACCTGGCACATTTTCACTCCGACCAATACCACACTTCATCCAACAGCCCCATATCTGCAAAGATGAAGTTCACCATCCTTTTCGCCCTGGCAGCTCTGCTGACCATTGCCGTTGCCCAAGGCCTGGGTGATCTCCCCGACTGCTCGGTATGTGTTTACAGTTTACATGCGGCTGTGCCAAATGGGCCGTCTGCTAAACAACCTATTCCATAGAAATCCTGTGCTACGGGTTCAATCCCCCAGAACTGCGGTATTGATTTTACGTGCGTCTGCAAGTCCAAGTCCTTCCTAGCCGATGTCGCCTGCTGCATCGCTGATAAATGCTCCAAGGCGGATCAGGATAGTATGTTGTCCGCCCTTCCCTATCTCCAATTGAGTACACAAGTGGGAAGATTCCATCTGACTACACATGACGGATAGCGTAAAATGCACAGTGGAAAATATACCGTGAGCTGATACGTTACTCTTCTCCATAGCAACCATCAAGGTTGCCAAGTCAATCTGTGCCCGGGGTGGTGTGACCGATCTGCCCGCCGATGTGGTCTGCTCGAGCAGCAAGTTGAGCTCCAGCTCTAGCGCCAACTCGACCGAGACTGGAACCAACTCCAGTGCCGAGACATCGGGTGCGACTAAGACTTCGGATTCGACTTCTGTGACAGGCACCAAGGCTTCTACCACGGCCTCGAAGAGTGTTTCGAGCAGTGCCTCGTCTGCCTCTGCTGCAGCCACCAGCACTGGCGTCGCTGCGGTTTCCCACAAGGATTCTTCCCTTGTGGCCGCTGCTGGTGCTGCGGCGGCGTTCGCCATTCTGATCTAGAATGAAGCATCATGGGTAATTATGGAGGGAAACAGTATGTTTAGCAGCATTGAAATGTCGGCATGATGATGATGGAATGAATGGAAACACAAGAATGATCTGAGAATGCACCTGTGTCTTATTTTTGTCCACGAGATAGTTTTAATCGATTGGGTACACGGTGTGACTAAGTGCCATCGCCTTCGCACTGGCGAATGGATATTCCACAATAATAATACACTCATAGAAAGAATTACCGATGAACAGATGGAAGTGGTCATTTTTCACGGGCGTCCTCCAGGAGCTTGGTCAGACGTTCCTGACGCTCCTCACGGAGGGCCGCAAAGTTCTGTGGCAGCAGATTAGCACGAAAAACGGCTAACAGGTCAAGCCTGTCCAAGCAAGACAGTTTCCACTTACCCAGAACCAAAACATCATTTCGAAGAAAGCAAAGCTAAAGACCACTCGGTTCTTCAGACGATCCAAGCCTCCAATAGCCGCAGCGCTTGTGTAAGACGAGGCCAGGTGGTCACCTCTGCTTTGGTAGATAAAGAACGCAATTCCAGCATACACAGCAAAGCGACACGCAGCAACTGCGATCCAGACGCTCCAGTAAATTGTCAAGGACTTTGTAATATATTCGGGCAACCGCTGTAGAATCTGCAGATCCTCGGCAGGGAGGTTGCTATTTCGGAGGGGCCGGATGTAGGGGAGAGCTTCATCGAGAGCTTCATGATAGGGGATGTTGGACAGCAGAACGAGGTCGACTAGGGCCTCAGTAAAGATGAGAATGGCACAGAAGGTGAAGGGGGATTGTTGCGGGCTTGACAGGGATGGAAAGTCCTGCACCATGAGTGTTAGCAGTCCAAACTCACTGTATCTAGCAAGATCCATTGCCAACATGGAAGAAATTGCCTTGTAAATCGGAAATGCTGGTGACAACTCACAATGTTTAAAGCTTCGCCCATCATAAATACCAGATCGCAGTCAGTGATGACCTCCGGGCTCTTGACCAGATAGCCGGCGATCACGACTAGAAACACGGCATGTGCCTGGATTAGAGTCTTGGACGAAATTAAACCCATGGTGGAGGAGTCACAATGGCACAAGTTTGTGGACAAAAGACGTTCTAAAAGTCACAGACGGAAGTAACTTGTCCGAGTGTCCTTGGCCGCAACGCATGTGGGGAAAAAGCAGCTACGGTCGAGATGTCCCCCCCCCCCCCCGCCAACACAACAACTGCGAGGATTGGATCTGATTTGCGACTTGACGTATGCTGATCAATTTGCCTAAATTTATACTGGAATATTGCAAAGTTCCTACCATACTACACAGTGGTCCAAACCCCTGACCATCCTCTACAATGACCGACTCAAACCCAACCTTCAACACAGAGCGCCATGTGAAATACTACCTCCGATGCCTGAAGACTTTCCTCCCGTCCGCTTATACTTCCAATGACTCTAATCGCATGCTCCTGGCCTACCTGACCCTCTCCGGATTGGACGTGCTTGGCGTTCTCCAGAGCAAAACCACCCCGGATGAAAGACAACGGTACATTGACTGGCTCTATCACTGCCAGGTACCTTCGGGCGGATTTCGCGGTTTCCCAGGCACCTTTTTTGGGCCAGATAAGCGAAACAAGGATAATGAAGCCTGGGATCCAGCTAACGTCCCCGCGACATTCTTTGCGCTAGTCAACTTGCTCATCCTCGGGGATGACCTGTCGCGTGTCAAGCGACGGGAGTGTCTTGAGTGGCTTCCTAAAGTTCAACGCGTCGATGGAAGCTTCGGTGAGCTTCTTGGTCCTGGGGGGAGTGTAGGGGGGCCTCGCGATTTGCGATACTGCTGTTGTGCTGCCGGCATACGGTATATCTTGCGCGGGCGGAATGAGACGGGGCTTGAAGGTGTGCCAGATATTGATGTCCTCGGTTTTGCCTCTTTTATCGAGGCGTGCCAGGTATGTAGAGACATCGATGCTCTTTCCGTGATTGGGGTGTTGACACAGTCTACCTAAACAGACATACGACGGTGGCATGGCTGAGTCTCCTTTTTGTGAATCGCATAGTTCGTGTCTCCCTTTCCACCATCTGAATCTTCTAACAATTCACAGGTGGACACACGTACTGCGCAGTTGGGTCTCTAGATTTCTTGCGCCGGACGTCCAATGATGTGAAATCACTGCCCTTACTATCGGCAGGCTCCAATCAGTTTGAGGCTTTGATTACATGGCTGGCTTCAAGGCAAACGGCCCAGCTAGAGGAACCCGATGAGGATGAAGATGAAACGCTTGAGGTGACAGGGACGGGATCTCTTGATGATCGAGTCCGCGGGTTACCCAATGTTCAACCCCTCGGAGCCGACGCACTGCCATGTGCCGGTTTCAATGGCCGATGCAATAAATATGCAGACACATGCTATTCATTCTGGAACGGAGCGACACTGATGGTATGTGCAACCTTGGCTGGTAGTGGTTGTCGACTAACGCGGAAGCCAGATGCTGGACCAATATTCCGTGGTTGATGAAGTTCGTAATCGTCGATACTTGCTGGAGAAAACCCAACATGCTGTCGGTGGGTTTGGGAAAGGGCCTGGGGATCCTCCCGGTAAGGCGATAGCATGCTGATATCCAAGACTGTGTTGCTGATCAAACCGTTAGACCTCCTTCACTCATACTTTGGTATGGCGTCCCTGGCTTTCCAGGGTGAGGCGGGACTCAACCCCGTCGATCCCACGATGGGTTCTAGTGAACGCACAGTTCGACATCTTGAATCGCTGCCTTGGTGGCAATCATGAAGTATATAATACCCGTGCATGTAATTCAATGGTTATTCAGCCATTCCATCATTTGGCTCAGGTCAGCACGAAATCAGCCAATAGCTGCAGTCTACTAAATTAATCGGGCGTCGGTGTACATCGTACGTTGTACAGGTACCGTCCACAAGCAAGGGCTGGATCTTAGGCAGTAAGGTAGTAACAACACGTATTTGCCTGTCTACAACGCAGGATTGGGGTGACCAGGATCAATTTGTTGTTTCAGGGCTATAGTCGAAGTCTGTCGTTCGAGCCAATTAAGGTAGATGGGGTTGCTGACCATTCTGGCCAGTATCAGGAGAGTTATAGATAGGAGCGGAGCCCGGAACACTTTTTTTTCTGTCTGAAATATAGAATGGAGATTGGATATTGTATATAAAGATAATTATAGACGACTCCAAAAAAAATTCAAAAAAAAGGAGAGCCGTCCCAAGTCCCGAGTTCTCCACACGGTCCACGTTCCCGTTGACGTCTTCCAAGGTAGGGATCTTCCATAGGCTTTTTGTGTGCAATTTCCCTTCTCCTTTTATCCTTTGCAGTGTTACTCTATTTCTCCGGCCATCGTTCAGAGCCCCCAGCTACCCTTTTTGAAACCTATCGGCCTCTCCCTCCGCTTCGGATACCGTTTTATCCGCGCATCCGTGTCCCGTTGAATGGCACCCCCGGCACATCAACCATTCCTAGTCTACCCCTTGACGCGCAGAGAGTCTGTCGACAGCGAAACTTGGCAATCATAACATATGCCGCCTCGAACAAGAGCGGGGGTTCAAAGCCAAAAACAGAAGGAGAAGGTGCGTCATGGGGGATGCGATTTAGGGAGCTCCGCCGGTTCCCTTTGTTTAAGCCTTTCGCAAAGTCCGTGGAAATATGGCTAATTTGGAATTCTCGATAGCTTGCCAACTCCTATAATGAACTGCTTGAGTAAGCGATCGCTTTGGTCCCGGTCTAGATGGTCAGTTGCGCTAATATGGTGGTTCTCCACAGGGAGTTCTCCTCCAAGGATCTTCGGACTGTGGGGAATTATACATTGGGGCGGTTAATTGGGAAAGGTTCCTTCGGCAAGGTATATCTCGCCTCGCACAAACTCACCAATGGCTCAAAGGTAGGTCACGTCATGCGAAGAACAAATTAGTGGAGGCAATGTTGATCAAGTCCGCAGGTGGTGCTCAAATCGTCCAGCAAGGAGGACACCAATCTCGTGCGCGAAATTCATCACCATCGCCAATTTCTCCATCCTCATATCACACGGCTGTACGAAGTGATAGTAACTGAGAGCCTCGTTTGGCTTGTGTTGGAGTATTGTCCCGGTACGTTAGCTTGCGCATGGTGGACGATGCCACGGCAAACAAATTGACAATCGTATCTTCTAGGCGATGAGCTCTACAACTACCTCCTTCGACACGGCCCACTCCCGGTAGAAAAAGTGAAGCGGATGTTTACTCAATTGGTGGGAGCGGTCGCCTATGTCCACAGTAAATCCTGTGTGCATCGCGACTTGAAACTGGAAAACATTATGCTGGATAAACAAGAAAATGTGAAGCTCTGCGATTTTGGGTTCACGCGTGGGTATGAAGGAAAAACTAGCTATCTTCAGACCTTCTGTGGGACGATATGCTATAGTGCACCCGAGATGCTCAAAGGAGAGAAGTACGCGGGAGAAAAAGTGGATGTCTGGAGTTTGGGAATCATTCTCTATGCGCTTTTAGCAGGCGAGCTGCCATATGACGACGATGACGACGAAATCACCAAAAAGCGAATATTGTCAGATGAGCCGACCTTCAACGACAAATTCACAGACGATGCCAAGGCTCTGATCAATCTCCTGTTGTCCAAACGACCTCTGATTCGACCCAGTCTAGACGAGATCTTGGCTCATCCTTTCCTTTCGGAGCATGCTCCTGAACAACTTGCCATCCTGAAAATCCCAAGACCCTCGCCATTTACTACGCCACTGGAGAAGACTACATTGCAGCGGATGAAAAGCGCTGGGGTCAACATTGACGAGGTCATTGAAAATGTTCTGGCTCAGCGGTGCGACCCACTCGCCGGCTGGTGGGCACTGCTAATTGAAAAAGAGCAACGGAAGGAACGAAAGAGGGAGCGCAAGCGTCACGAGCGGGAGGTCGAAGCCATTAACCTTCGTCGTCTGAGCGCCGCGAGCAGTCGTCTAGAGAAGCGATCATCGGCTCTAATGGAGGTGGAGGAAGAAGGCTCGGGATTGGGAGATCGTGGGAGACGGGATAGAAGAAGCTTACTATCCCAGTCGGCAGTACCAGATCTTCCTGCGCTTCCTGAACCGCTTCCTATATTCCCAATTGAGCTCACCAAGCCACCATCGTCCCTCGACAAAGCTTCTATACGGTCCCACAACTCGACACGCCGCCGCCCAGTTCCGCCGCCAAAAGATAGACGGCGATCACGGCCCAGTATGCTACATGTTAGCGCATCACAGCCTGAATTAACGCAGCAGCACAGCATCTTCCGGCGTCGTACTAGTCGTCGTCACCAGTATCCGATACTCAGCCAGCTAGCATCCCTCAAGCACTGGTTTGTAGAGTCGGCGAAGAGAGCACGATCTCCCCATGCCAAATCGATGGGCTCGCGCCATTTTCTTTCCGAGAAGCTGAGCCCGGCGAAGTGTCCAGATACTGGAAAGAAAGATGTGGTCTTGTCGTCCCTACAAAGTGAGGTCGCAGGGGAGGAAGTTGTGACACCCACCCAGGTCAAACGAATCTCCAATGCTAGCAGCCTCACTCCTAGTAGTGCCTCATACCGCCAAAACAGCCATTCTTACACTCGCCAGCCGCGGCCATTGACCACCGGTCATAACAGTCATCGAAAATCCCTCTCACCCTCACCTATCACACCACGCGGATCCTATCAGCGTTCATCGGTCGGACTACGAGGACGCAAATCTACATCCTCCTCGGTATCATCGATCCGAAGCATTCATCACGCTCGTGCTCATTCCAAGGCATCTTCGATTTCTTCCAACAGCGTAGATACTATCTCGACGCCCACTGCCAGAGTCTCCAGATCGCCTCACTCATCGATTAAAGTGTTGCCCACCACCCCAGGTTCCTCATCCCGCTTTCCGAGCAATATTCGCTTGGTAAGAGGGCCAGGTGGAGCACCTCGCGAACTTGGCGATCCAGGTCAGATGCCATCGTCATTCAATGAGGCGGTACCAGGGCCGTTATTCTACTCGCCCTCTTCAAGCCTGGTGTTTGCAAGGCGGAAGAGATCTCTCTTCAAGGGTCCAATGATCCATACCACTAATTTGATGGTTTCTGGTGGGGTAGTCAACTCCCCCGTTCTCGGTCAGCCAGCGAATACCAGTCCCGACATCGTGGCAGGGCGGCCTGTTGTACGCAAAAGCCAAATTATCGAGGAAGAGGAAGATATCGAAGGGATTGAGGAAGAAATCGAAGAAGTCGACGAGTTCGACGAACCTGGTGCACCTTCTGATTCCGTTGCCCCCGACGAGCGCCCCGCGGACGAGACCGGATCTCCCTCGAGCGGCAGGACGCCATCTGCTCCTGTTTCAACCCCTGAAACCAATCCCCTTCAGCCTCCTTGCTCCTCCTCTTTGTGCTCGCCGTCCGATGCCGTAGAGAAGATCCACATCGCTGAATAGTGCCGATGTTAACCTGTCAGCTTCATTGCAATTTCCCATCTGCGCATTAGATTCGGGCGTTTCTTTGCCCATCCCAGGATCACTTATTCCTATGTTTGGTTAGACGATAGAGCTTTTTATACCCCCACTTACACAGCGTGTTCTCGTTTTCGTTTCCTTGTTTTGTCTCTTTTTCGGCATCGATCCATCATTGGATCGATGCCTTTCTCCGTCTCTTGCGCTCTTTTCCTTTATGTTTTCCTAGCTTCATGAAGCGCTTTCTCTCCACTATATTTCCTTGAAATTTCATGATGATTCGACCCTCGCTTGAATTTTTATGTCTTTTGCCTAGCATTCCCTTGTCTCATATGGAACGCTGTCCCACAATATCTTGTTGGATTTATCAGCAATAGAATAATTCGATAATGAAATTGCATCGACCATTTCCAACTTTGATATCCCCTCGATCCAACATGCTGTCAGGCTTCTAGAACCTAGAGAGATCTTAGATCGGCAGTCAGTATCTGGAGGAAATCAAGCTCCCAATCCTCATACCGAAGAGCCTGGATATGAACATGTACTTGTCAACAAGGAAACGGATCAACTTCACTTTACTTCTGAGAGATTGTCATACTTCTAGCTGTACGCTATTCAGAAAGCGAATCGGAAAGTGCTATATGAAGAATATCTCATGAAGTCCAAGTCGTAGTCGTCCGTCGCGAGATTGGACATAATCTCAGCTGTCAATTCTTTGTTACTTGTTTGGGCCTTTTGTCCTTTCAAACTCAGAGACTTTCTGGTCTTCTCCTTTCCATCTTTTCCTCAAACGTCATTGATTCTTTCATCCCCAAGCTCCATCAAAATGGATTTCTCTCCGCTAACTGGTCTCTTGGCCCTGCCCCCAGGGGACCCTCGAAGCTTTCTTTCATCAACCTTCACCCTAAGTTGGCGGGTATTGCGACGGTCACCTATTTATGCCGCAAGGGTGATTCGGCTGTGACCCCCAGCCTGTACCAATAGGTCATCATATGGCAACCAGTCAACGTGGACCGCGTTGCCAGAACCATCCAGGATTAAACCCCACCTCATTTTCTTCATTCGGAGACTATTAGTGAAATTCCATAATATTCCAGATACCAGGAACGATCAGCCGCACATTTTCCAGCTTCTCGACCTCGGGCTTGCCCACTGTGACAAAGGGCATACATACGAAGCCATTTCCTCCATTCCCGGAACGACTCTGGCTGCTAAATTGCTGCCTTGGCACGACGATTCTCGCGGGAATTGTGAAGTATCCGTGTTCGTTGAAGCATGGCACTTTCAAATACGAGTCTCGGGGATTCAGTATTGGCATCCCCTGAAACGATGTAGAACCGACCAGAAATGGATCCAAATGGTGCCAAAGAGGCCATACTACACACTGCACATGTAGACGAGTTATGTATAGCTACATTGTTGAGGTAGCCTTTCTGCCCAAGGCCGCTGAGGTCTCTGCTCCTCACTCTGTTTGATTTTCCTCCCTCTCCCTCTCCTCCTTCTCTCTCGGTCAACAGCTCAGCTCATTTCTTGGTCTGCTTTCCATCTTGTCTTTGAGTGTATTAAGGCAACAACGACACTTATATCGGTGGTCTCAAAACTTCCTAAGCTGCCTTCTTCTAATATATGAACAGTGGTCCATGGACACAGCTAGCGACATTGTTCAAGGAGACCACGAGATCCGCTGCCTCTTGGTGCATCTTCGACGCGTTCCAGATTCCCCCAGCAATAGCCGTACGCAATTGCAAATTCCGATCCCGCACTAGTTTTCGTGAGCCATCTGCTAGCTTCGATCCTCGAATTAAGGCGACGAATCCAAGCTGAACGGGTTCCGGCTGCCCTTGGCTGTCGTTTGTATGTCAAAAACCACGAACTCGAAGTCGCGCACCCATTCCAGCCATCTCGTCGTCCATTTAATAGAGTCTTCCGAGCAAAGCCATACAATTCGAAGGCCTTTAATCAGCGGAAGATTTTGCCTGTAGCAGCTCATTGCTACATGTTGGTAACGCAACGTCCGAATTCGTGGCTACGAAAAATCAGCCTGTAAAGAGCAAGCGCTCAAAGTGGACCTGCTCGACCTGCTCGACCTGCTCGATGGAACACAGACACTTACCCAGGCCTTCAGCAAGCTGGGTGCGTGGTCTGCTGTGTCACACAATGACGAGTTAGCCCTGCCACAAATTGACACTTCAACTGCTATCACACAATGCCTAGTGGCGGTCTTACAGTGAATGAGCCATGTCGTACATAAACCCATCGATCGGAGGAGTGGATTGGCATCGAATCCAAGTGCAGAACATCAAATCATTCCAGGACAAGGAGTCTTACGTCGCGATCTTTGACATGTTTTGCACCTGGCTCGGTTTCATCCGCCACTTCCACAGGCTAAACCAAGCCCTCAGTCATGATCGACATGTCCTACGCGTTGTCTTCGGAATATTATGAATGATGGGCCTTCTGTGGGTTTCCGATCGGTCTGTACCGACTCGTTACACATTCTGATGATATCCAAAGCCACTGTCACCAACTAGCCACCGCGGTCACATGTCGGGCTGTCTTCCCTTCCGTCGCGAAGATGGTTTCAGTGACGATATCTCTCTTCTGTGGTTTAATATCATGATATCGTATATGGTTCCCAGCTTGGCAATCTTCATAATTCGGCTTAAAAACTTAGTTGCTATTCTAATCGCGGGCGCTGGGTGATCTCATGTGGTTGTTGCTGGTAATGAAGCATCGTTATATCGGTTGGTCGTCACACATTACTCTATTACATAGAGTATTACATAGCGAAGAATGCCGAGCAAGTAAGGCAGAACCAAAATTCTAACCCTTGTGATCCATCATCCAGTGACCATCAAGATACCGAAAGCAGAGCAAATGACAACCATCTACCGCTCCACATGCAGGGCTTGGTGCTTCTCACCTACAGTCTCATCAATAGCATGAGACCCCACAACAGCTTCCTCATCTTTCGTACTCGGACGATCAGTACCAACATCACTCTCACCAATTTTGTCCACGGTGTTTGTGTACGACGGAACAAAGTTAACAGCAAGAGCATAAGTCCAAGCGACCATGAACTGCAGGCATAATTAGCTACCGACCCAACAACGCAAACGAAAGACAGACAGAAGCATGAATCCAATGGCAAAACCATACCATAGTCGGAATAATAAACGCGAATCCGGTGTTATCACGCATATCAGCCACATGTCCCAGAATAGGCGGCACGACAGCTCCTCCACAAACACCACCAACAATCAACCCAGAGCCACGCTTGTAATGGCGCCCGAGGCCACGGATACCCAGTGCCATGATTGTCGGGAAGCAAACAGACTCAAAGAATAGTGTCATGAATAACATGACAACCCCAACCTGCTTCGTCTGCGTCACGGACGCCGCGAGAAAAGCCACCGTGCACGACAAATACACCAGGAAGACCCAGCGCGCCCGCACGAACTTCATCATCCCCGAGCCGAGGAACCGGCCGACTGCGAACGCGCCCTGCGCGCCGGCAAGATACTTCGCCGCTGTGGCATTCGGTGTACCCGGCCAGGTGTCCTTGACGTAGTTGATGAAGTAGCCCGCGATAGCAACTGGAGAACGCATTTAGCTTGTTGGAAGAACGGAGAAAGTATAAGATGAAGCGGGGAGCGAGGAAAACGCACCCTGCGCGCCTGTATACGTGAACTGCGCCAGTGTCGCATGGAACAACTTGTACTGTTTCCCGAACGGCTTATCCTGCTCATCGACATGGGTCTGCGCAACCTGGAAAGCCATGTCCGCATCTGTGACTTCGGGGATCTTGGATAGGAAGAATACGCCGGCGAGCAAGAAGACGAAGACACCGATGGCGAGGTAAACCCACTGTACGCGCTGCAGGGCTGCTACGTCGTCCTCTGTCTCTGAGAAGAAGACGTACGAGCCCAGTACTGGGCCGACGACTGTGCCAATGGCATTGAAGGCCTGGGCGAAGTTGATTCGGATTTCAGAGTAGCCGGGGGGACCGCAGACTAGATCGAGGCAAGGAGAGATTAAAATTTAGGCACGGCTCAGTGTGGTATGTGTGATTGTCTTACCTGTGAGGTAAGGATTAGCTGCTGTCTCGAGAGACCCCAGTCCGGATCCAATGACGAAGGTGGCTCCGCAGAAGCCACTGAATGATTGGTTTAGTCCCGCAGGCCACATGCATAGAGCTCCGATACCGTATAGACACAGACCAAAGATAAAGACGGTCTTGTAGCCGTAGTTGCGGAGGATCCAGTTTGCGTAGCCAAGGGAGGCTAGGGGGTATGCGCTGTGCTTTATTAGGGGGGGGGAGGGGTTCATTTTGAGTAGGATAGGGGGGTTATGGAGAGACCTCATACCCAAAGTAGGCTGCTTGAAGACCAGCTGAGCGGCCTCGGTCGATGTGTAGGGTTTTTTGAAAATGCGAGTTGAGGGTGTCCAACAAACCATATGCAAAGCCCTACTTGAAGTTTTAGTAAGAGGATTGTCTATGAGCAACCGGTGAAATTAGTAACTTACCCATAAGAAGAACAAGGTCGTGACTAGAGTCAAGGGCCACAGGCTCTGTCGTAGAGTCAAAGTTGCAGCAGAAGTAGTCGCGCGATTATCCACACGCAAGCCTGAGCGGCTTTTAAAGAATTTCTTAACGCCCATTCTTGTATAGAGAAAATGCATTCGAAATAGACAAATGGAATCAGATTCAAAGGGTCCAAAGAAGAGATTTAAAAGGAAAACAACTTAAAAGGCTCCCATTTCTCCACAAACTCCACACTTTCAGTCCGGGGGAAAGCCCCCCCAGACGATCCCTGGAGAAAGACCAGCAATATCCAATCAACCCTCACAATGCGGAGGTGCACCAAGGATTGAAGGTGACTTTGATCGATTTCCCCTGTAGTCTGATCAAAGCCCCCCGCTTTCCAATGGTTAGACCCTGGCAAGGTGGTGTCAGGGTTGCATGGTTGTTTCGACCGTTTGACGTTATTGATCTTGGGGATATGCGGGATGCTATTCCGGTGGTCATGCTGATTCTCTCCCGTGTCTGGTGGAATGTTACTCCGAGACATATGGGTTTAGTCTTACCACGCTGAGCAGCAACCTAGATAATACCCTAGGAACCGTCACGCATCATCGTGTCTACGATATACTTCAGGGGAAGCTATGGGCTACACGCTACCCATACAACAAGATCTAGTTGAATGGCCGTGGATGACGACTGTACTCATTGCAGGGACGCCGATGACAGCGGAATCACATCATTCATTGTTCTCAAACCCAAGGTTGGAAAGAGGTCACGGCTATCCAAGCTAGACGAGGATGTAGATATCTATACCCCCGAAAAGGATCGACTCATCGAATAAAAGCGGTTTCCTATGAAGATACAAGTACAGACTGTCCATCTATCCACAGGTGCAACAATCGCAGGTAGTAATCTTTTTATTCGGATTGATCTATGGGCTTCCATGATAGCATGTCATAAGTAATCCACGCACTCTCGTGTTCAATGCGTGACCAAAATCCAGCCAATCAGGCGCAATCTATTTCTATTACACACCGATTAGCTCCTGCTTGAGCAGATACGCGGGTAGGTGGGGTCCTATTTAGGCATTCGCCAATATAGCCCCAGCCTTTATGCCCGCTTGGGCTTACCAGCGACACCGTTTGGGGCGACAGGGTTGACGGCTTTCGTGCCGTAGAGACGACGCTCGGCGACCTTAAGCACCTCGTCGATCAAGCTGGGAGCTTAGGTTAGTGGGGCATTCTTTCGAGATTAAGCCGCAATAGTCACTTACATTACAGGCGCACTGATCACCAACACTGCCCGCCATTCATTCCAGTCCATAGGCAGAATCGAAAACAGATTCTGGAGGAAGGGAATGTAGAGGATAGCAAAGTGAAGGAGCATGGACAGAGTGATGGCGTAGATAAGCATGGGGTTGTTGCCCAGGAAGAAAGTCAGGAGGGACTCGCTGGAGGACAGTGCGTTCATGGCGTTGAGCATCTCAATCACCACAAGGATGGAAAGAGACACGGTGGAGGCAGACTTGCCCATGTCGTTGCTGAACATTTCGCAGCCAATCTCCGGGAACTGAGCACCACACTTGTGGTAGTGGGACTGAAGTGGCCCTATTAGCAATACTTAATTGATACCGGGATACAGGGTAAACTTACCAACTGCCAGAAAGTGATTCTGGGACCAGCGGGGTTGTAGATAAACCACCAGACGTAACCAAAGACAGTGGCAGCACCAACGTAGATGCCGACAACCATATAGCGGAATAACAACCAGCCTCCGACAAGGGCCTCGTCGCGACGGCGGGGAGGACGATTCATCACATCGTGGTCCGGAGGATTGAAGGACAGAGCAGTAGCGGGCAGACCGTCGGTGACAAGGTTGACCCACAACAGCTGAACGGGAATCAGAGCCTCGGGCATGCCAAGAGCAGCAGTCAGGAAGATAGAGACGACCTCTCCAATGTTGGAAGAAATCAGGTAGCGGATGAACTGCTGAGTGTTGCTGTAAATGGAACGACCTTCCTCGACGGCGACGGCGATAGTAGCGAAGTTGTCATCAGCCAAGACCATATCAGAGGCCATCTTGGCCACGTCGGTTCCGGTGCCCATGGCCACACCAATGTCGGCCTTCTTGAGAGCGGGAGCGTCATTGACACCGTCTCCGGTCATAGCCACAACGTGGTTCAAAGACTGGAGAAGATCAACAAGCTTGGACTTGTGGTTAGGTTCAGTGCGCGAGAAAAGGGAAGCGGTCTGAACGGCCTTGACCTGTTCACTTTCACTGAGAGCGTCGAATTCCCGGCCCGTGTAGCTCTTACCAGTGAGATCCTCGTTGGTGCCAAACACACCAATTGAGCGACAGATAGACTCGGCAGTGTTGCGGTTATCACCGGTGATGACAATAACACGGATTCCGGCAGCGTGACACTTCTTGATGGAATCGGCAACCTCAGGCCGTGGGGGGTCCAACATTGCGACAAGACCAATAAGAGTCATGCTCTGTTCCAGCTTGGTGTAGTCCTCGGTGGTGGTGGCGTTCTTTAAAAGGGGGTTTCCGGAGACATCATCAACACTTGCGATGGCCATGACACGAAGACCACGGTTACCATACTCAACGACTTCCTCGGAGAGAAGCTTCAAGTGATTCACAGTCACAGGAACGCGAGATCCGTTGGCACCTTGAATAACGTGCGAGCAGCGGTCCAGGATGCTTTCAGGGGCACCCTTGACCAGCAACTTTTGTTCCTTGCCCTCGCCAACGAGAACAGACATACTCTTGCGGTCACGGGAGAATTCATAGGTGGCCTTGAGGGGAAGACGGGACTCGTAATGGGCGCTGGCGGCATGCAATCTTTCGGACGCAGGGAGGCGATAAAGCTTCTGGTTCAAGGCGAGGTCGGTGGATCCAATCTTTTCAACCAAAGTACGCAGGGCTCCCTCGGTGGGCTCACCGATGCTAGAGAAGGCTCCGCTCTTGGCATCATGGGAAAGAGTAGCGGCGTTGCAAAGGGCACTGACCTCGGCCAATTGTGCGATGGTCGATGACGAAACAGCCAAGTTCTCGACAACCTTGCCATTCTGGGTAAGCTTGCCCTCGGGAGTGAAAGTAGTGCCTTCGACTTCGATTTCCTCGAATCCAGTGCCAGAGCTGGTCAGGTAAACAATCTTCTCGACGCTCATCTGGTTAGTGGTCAAGGTTCCAGTCTTGTCAGAGCAAATCACGCTGCAGCTGCCCAGGGTTTCGACGGAGGGAAGAGACCGGACAACCGCGTTCTTTTGGGCCATCTTGCGGGTACCCAGTGCCAGACAGGTGGTAATAACCACTGCCAGACCTTCTGGAATAGCCGCCACACCAAGAGAGACCGCAATTTTCAGATAGTAGATAGCACCCTTCGTCCAGCCACCAAACGCGGGATCGTTGAAGTTCTCGTAGTTGATAACCCAAACCAAGACACAGATGACGGTAATGACTTTGGCGAGCATGTCACCGAAGTCGTTTAGCTTCTTCTTCAAAGGGGTTGGCTCGGAAATCTGGGAGGTGATGCTCTCGTGAATACCTCCGATGGCAGTCGAGGCACCGGTCAACACGACCAGAGCCGTAGCGTGACCGTTGACAACAGTGGTACCAGAGAAAACCATGTTGATCTGATCCTGCTTCACGGCCTGCTCATCCTTAATAGCCCGCGTCTCCTTGGCGACACTTTCACTTTCACCGGTCAGAATAGCCTGGTCGACGCGGAAGCTGTTGCTCTGAATAGCGAGCAACCTGCAGTCGGCGGGGACACGGTCACCGACAGAAATTTGAATCACGTCTCCGGGAACCAAATCTTCGGCCTTAACCCTTCGCGTCATTCCATCACGGATGACCTTGGCCACGTTAGCCGAATATTCTTGAAGAGCTGAAATTGCCTTTTCGGCGCTACTTTCTTGGGTCACTCCGACCACGGCATTGAGGATGAGGATGGTAAGTATCTATGAGCGAAGCACAACTTGGTCAGCAAAAGAGAACACAAAGGGATTCAGGGGGAATGTAGAACGTTCCAGGACTTACGACAGCGGGATCCACGAAAGCAGTCCAATCGTCGCCCTCTTCAAAGAGAGCTAGCACAAAGGACACGGCAGCCGAGCCAAGCAGAATAAGAACCAATTGATCCTTGAATTGTTCCAAAATCAGCTCCCACATGGGAGTCGGGGGTTCTTCCGGGAGAGCTAAGTGGCCAGCAGACGTTAGTTCCGATAGTGTCATTTGCGGAATGTGTACTAACCGTTCCGTCCATATTGTTGTCTGTATTTGAAAATCGCGTTTTGCGACAGACCGGTCTGCTCCGACACCCTGAAGTGCTCCAGCGACTCAGCTGGAGTACGGAGAAAGGCGTTCTCCATGATCGCGAACACCCTCAACGGCAATACGCAGGATCAATCGCAATAGCCGCAGAGGTGAGGAATAGTATTTGGGGTAAACAAGAGAGAGATAAATTTCAGTTGTTAAGATAGCATCCCCGATGTCACACAACGTCGGAAAGAGAAATAGAGCCCAGAGGGGGGGTCCAGGTGATGTTCAGAAAAAAAAAACAGATCAAGCGAAGCAAGGAATATTGAAGATCGAAGATCGAAGACCGAATGGGGAACCTTCAGTGGGGGAAGTCAACGTGTTCTCATCCATTTGATTCTAGGGGCTGAGTAAGCACGGACCTGCCCTGCCCTGGTGGGGAAGCCCCGGGGGTCTACAGGGCTGAAGGCGGGTCATTTTTCCCATGCAATCCTCTGCTTCGTTCTCGTTTCTTTTTGTTTTATTTGATCTTCTATTG